ATTTTATTTGAAATTAGTTTAACTATTTTAATTATTCATTGAGGAATATATATATTATCGAAATCATTAATTTTAAATAAAAGGAAAATACATTACAATGGAAATTTAAAATTATAATCACAAGTTAAAAATATAATTAGGATATTTTTCTATAAATATTGACATAAATAGCAATTTAGGAGGGAAAAAATAAAAGCCTATAAAAAATTTAAACAAAAGATAGATATTGATAAATATGATCGTATCAGCAAATGAACCACAAAAAAAAAAAAAGCAAACGACTAAAATATCACCAAAAAATTATAAATTAGATTAAGGCAAAGTGAGAAAACTGTCACGGACACAAATCACGTATCCAAATCCAATAAGATGATCCAAAGTAAGAAACATCATAATTATAACAAGTAAATGTAATATTGATCATTTATGACGATATTAAATCTAACTATAAAAAATATATATATATACAAAAACAATGATTAAACAATCGAAAATATGTCAAAACACAATTGACTAACTGATCTACGTACATTAAATTATTCTCATAATGTTTATAGATGTAAGATATGGTATGACATAATATCTCGTAAACAAAAAATATTTTTTAAATCAAATATAATTGTAGATGTAAGCTACGATATGACATAATATTTCGTCTAACAAACAATTGTTTTTTAAATTAATTATAAATATAGTCATCAATTAATTCTCAACCAGTAAATATCAGTTCGATATAACTTTTGAAAAAATGATTTTTAAAAGTGTTGTATAAAAGTATATTTAAATTATATTTACACTTATATATAAATCATATCAATTTAAATTATAATAAATTCAAAAAAAAATATTATTACATATAAATTGTTGGGATTAATTAAAATAATTTAGTAAGAAATTAAGATATAAAGTGTTTATTAATATAAGAAATTAAAACATTTTTCCAATTAAATGTTGGGAGTTAATTTATATGTTAGGTATAGAAAATATTTATATAGGTCTGCTTTTAAAGCATACAACAATTCTCAATTCATGACCAATAGTGTCGTAATAATTAAATGTTCATTTTTTTATTTTTTTGGTAAAGGTTTCCTTTTAATTTTAGTGTCCTTGTTTCGACATAGATTAGTCTAAAGTGCGACACATCTTAAAGACACTTATTAAATTAACATAAAAGAAAAGGGAAACAGATTTGGTGATCTCTCCTTTAGCTGATGCCCGAAAGAAAGTGGGTCCATAATGGCCCGAAATAAGCAATTTTTAATATGTTTTTAAAATTTTTAAATTATAAAAAATTAAAAACAAACTATTATAATAATTAAAAAATAAGCAAGCGAAAAAACATTTATACAAAAAATATATTTAACATATATAATTTTAACGATGTTATTATTATTATATATATATCGATAAAGCAACTAGTTTTAAAAAAAATAATAAATATAAAGAATTACAATGGATGTTTACAACCATAATTATAAACTAAACACATAATAAAAATATTTTCATATAAAAGTTTACACAAATATATAGTCACTTAAGAATACACAAATACCATACAAGGAGAATAGTAATAAAATAAACCATATAAACTCAAACAAAAGGTTCAAACAAATAGATTTAACTATACCAACAAACGAATTATAAAAAGGGATTAAACTATTGAAAGACAACCGATAAATCGCTAATCAGAGTTGAGCGACGTCAGACAACTTTCCACAAATACAAATTACATATCCCAATCTAATATGAAAATCCAAAATAAGAAAGATATGCGTGATAACAAATAAACATCAATAAATGGCGGCGAAGTAAAATTCAACTATAGGAGAAAAGGACAAAAAATAACTACCAATTGACAGAGAAAAATAGGGATGAGCACATAGTAGTGTGGTGCGGGTTTTTGGCCTCCCGACCCGAAAACATATACCTAAAATCCGACCCTGCCCATCCCGAAAATTTTTAGGTTTTTTCTTGTCTCGAACCTGCCTTGATTTTTTTACTAAAACACCAACCCGACCTCAACCCAAGTATATTAAAATTTTAAAATAATTAAAATAATATATTTAATAATAATATATTTATAATTATTTATTATATTTTAAATGATTAAATTAATATATTTTATAATATTTTTTATATTTTACTAATAGAATAATATATTTTAATAATATAAAATTAAATTCTCAAAATATTAAATGTAATATATATATATATATATATATATATATATATATATATATATATATATATATATAAATTAATCGAGTCGGTTGGGTCGATATTTTTCACTTAAAATCCAACCCTGATCCATCTCGAGATTTTACACCACATAACTCGTCCCGCCCCAAGCCTCGAAATTTTTAAAAAAAATGTTCCTATAAGGTCGGATTGGATTGGAACTGGTTGCATTCGGGTATTTTGACCATCGTTAGTGAAAAATGTGACGAAAGTAGAGAAAAATATGTCACAAATGCAGAGTTATTAAAAACTATAAAAGACAAAAAAAAATCAAAGATATGATATGAGAAAAAAAACTAAGATTTTTCCACTGTCTGTTAATCAAAATTGAAGAAAAATTAAACAGTTATTAGAGTTTTAAAGAAAAATTATTTATTTTATATATTTATTTGAATATTTAGTCATTAAAGAAAAATATGTACGTTTTAGATACGTATTGATCACACACATGTATGTAGTACATATTGTTAAATTTTATGATTGAATTTGGCGTCATTTAACTCATTTAAAAAATATACAAAATTTAAGTATAAAAAATATTCTTTATAAGAGTAAAATAGTAGTTTATTTTATTAGTAAATTTCATTAAAAATAATTTGGAACTTTTAATTGAAAATGATAAATTATTTCAAAATTTAGACGCCTTATTATAAAAGTAGGCAATGTTTAAACACATTTCTAAAAAATCTAGTGTTTTATCACTTTATGAGAATTGCTAACATTTTACATTTGAGATTCTTAGCGATAAATCTCGCTAGTTAACAAACAATATCTAACTAAATGCATAAATTAGTTAAGATGATATTTTCAACAACATTTTAATAGACGATACTAGTTATAGTATTTATTAATTAATATATTATATTTTTTAACAAAATATATTATAAAATATGCATAATAATTTTTGGTTAACGTTTTTCTTTCATGCTCATTGATTATTTGTAAGAGTATGAACAAAAATAGAAAACTCCAAGAAATTGTGGGATGTATAAGGAAAGACGACCTAATATAAGGTTAAGAAAAGACGATACTAGAAATGTTAATTTTTTTAACATTTCTGGTAGAGCTTTATCTAAAATATTAGTTTTTTATCGGAGATGATAATATCATAAATATTCGTTTTAGGTCTTGAAATTAACATTTTCAATAAAAAATAATATTTTAGGTATCACTCTACCGGAAATGTTAATGTAAAAAAAATATTAACATTTCTGATAACGTCTTTTCTTAGTCCTATATTAAGCTGTTACTACCCTGAGATTGCGTATCTTACTGAATTCTAATTATGTTAGGTTAGGTGGTGCGTAAGCGTTAACCATGGAATAGAATTAAAGCAGAGTAGTTGGTGGCAATCAAATTGCCTAATAAATACTGTATGGTGATTTAAGTTAAATTTGTTGCCTTTGGTTCATTTAATAGGCAAAAATACATTAAACCAACAAGCCCGGCCCCATAAATAGACAGCTGGCACATATCGGCAGACACAAAACTCAACCAGATCAATACTTGATTACAATGTATATTCTATGCAAAAAAATAGGAAAATCAGTAATTCAGATTAATCCCCATGCCTGGCCTAGGTGGTATAAGCCTGCAGATTGTTGCAGGCTGGCCTTACTGCGATATTTTTATAAGAGTAAAATCTATATTTCTCTGTTTGGTTGGTCGAGAATGTCATTTCCGATAATTTTACATTATCAATAGTAGTTTTTTTGGGTATATTACCGGGAATGTCATTACCTCCCTTTCCTTCGGTATTTTTGGATTACCGGCGTTTTGGGCTAAATTATTATCTTACCCTTTTTTCCTATATGTAATGGGATAAGGGGAGGTATGATAGTAGGCTGCCCCTAACGTCAGGTTAAGAGCAGCTTCTGTGGAGACCTCCGAATAATGAAATACCCTCCGTGGGACTCGATCCCAAGACCACAAGGTTAAGAGCCTTGTGCTCTAGTTTTGGACTAAAATGCCCTTAAAAAAATTCTTTCAAAAATATCTTTATTCTGTCATTGAATAATAAAAATTATACGAAAGTTAAATTACAAATTTATTCTTAAACTATTTTAGATTTACAAAAAAAAGGTCTATAATTAAAATTTTATATGAAGTTCAGGGATTAAAATAAAATTTTAACCCTTTCATTAAACCTTTTTATATTTTCAATTTTGTAAATAAAAATTATAATTTTTTTATGAATTTAAATTTTTAAAGAAAATATATAAATATTTTTCAACTTGTTAAAAAAACAAATATATAATAAGGACAATTTGGTTAAATATACATTCCAATAATATTTTATTCCTTTAAACAAACACGGTAATCTTACATTCCTGCTAAACCAACCAAACACAAAATACAACATTCCCAGTAATTCTATTCCCTGGTAATATTTTATTCCCACTGATAATCTTACATTCCGTGAACCAAATTTTTTTTTCTGAGCAATCGAATTGAGATCAAATGGGTGATTAACACAAGGTTAAAGTAAATTGTACTTAATTAAAGCAAATGGTTCCTAAAAGCTATGATTTTTGACAGAATTAATTGTCGAAGTAGTTGGCTGTGGTGACATTGCATGCCCATATGACTGGCATCCATGATATTCATGTGTACTCTTTTAGTTATTCTGTATCAATTTTTTGTTGTTGCTTGCTTTTCATATGAATCAATGAATCCTCATCTTCCACACTAAAAAAAGCAAAAAAGAAAGCTAGCTCTTCAAACAATGGAGAACTTCTAGTCAGCAAGAAGCATACCATATCGAGTAAATATGAAGAGGAATTATTTCCACCAACATCAAAATATAACTGGAAAAGAGAAAATTTATACATGAATGCTGATATGAAATATATAACATAACTTAGGTGACGCCTTTATTCTCTTCCTCTCCAAGAAAAAAAACCTTCGTATGAACATCGAACAGTACTGAACTTGAGAGAAGACCCCCTTTTTTTCTGTAGAAGTTAAGGGCTTAAAGCTTATCGGGGATCATGATGAGAAGGATAATCGAACAACTTAGGCTCAAGCTTGGCTCTACAAACTGGACAAACCGGACGCTTAGAAAGCCATGTATCAGCGCATTCCAAATGAAACCCGTGATTACAACCGGGAACCATTCTAGCTGGCTGCTCAGCCTCGACCTCATCGAGACAAACTGCACAGTCGGTCCCCAACACGAGCTCCTTCCCGGTAACCTTGGGCAGCTTTTCCAGCTCTGAAACAGACAGCCCTTTCTCACCCACCTCCTTAATCGCCGAGGACGACCCCGAATTATTATGAGTCCGATAATTCGAGGCATACCATAAAAGACAACTATAAACAATGAAAACTGCACTCATGCCAGCGCATGGGAGAAAAAGGGCCAAGAAAACGGAAACCAGCATTGGATGATCGTGGCCGCCGCCTGTGGCGGCCGCGTTTAGGGTGGGAGATGGAGCAGGAGTAAGGAGAGGCGGAAGCGGGTATTGCGCTCCATGGCGCATAATAGTTTGCTGGCTTATGAAAAGAAAATAAAAAGTGTGAAGTTTAGGGGTAAGGAGAATCCCTTCTTTTGAAGGGTCAAGTGCGGGGGAAGGCTTTGAGTGAGAGAGATATTGAGGTGGTAACGCCCATATTTGGGAAAGGGAAAAACCAGGAATCGTCGATTGCTTTAGAGATGACGCGTTTCGTGGCAAACAAGCCAAAAAGGAACACTAGCCGACGTTTTTGTTTCCTTTAATTTTCAAGTTCCCATGTCGAACACTAAGCCATATATATAAACAATTCGATTCAAGAACATCAACACACGTTTGGCAAAATCGTCTCACGGGCGCTGTGATGGTTCGTGAGATAACTAAGCCCCAAAAGCACCTGATCTGTGCTGCGGCTGCTGGTGACTAGTTTTAGTTGTCACAGACAATTGGATAAAAAAAGAAGAGAAAAAGGATAGGTAGTGAGATTCGGAACGGCCCCATTCAATTGTATAAATACTGCTGATAAATAGTTCCTTTTTTCAGCGATTGATTGTGGAGAATGGGACCCTTGATTTAATGGGATCATATCACCTAACTGCTTAATTATAAAATGGATCTTTTTCATTGTGGAGATTGACCGTATTGCAAACATCATTGCATCTACGAAAATGATATAATAAAATAATGTCGCCTCCGATCTTTTTTTCCAATTAGTTGGTTTGTGTTTGATTACAACAACGATCGGTCTTAGTTGCTGACAAGGATTCAGATCAGCTGATGAGTATTATAGACGTGGATTTGTCGACGAGTGATTGACTTGGGTTTTGTTTGGGGTCGCCTCAGCCCTTACATCAATAAAAGGTCACTTTTATGGGTCGTAGCCAACAAAATATCCTAGATCTGTTTAAGTATGAGACGAGGAATAGTTTTTCAACTCCAAAAAAGAAAGGACAGCATTGCAAATACTGCTCTAACTTTATATCTTTAATGGTGTCCTATGGAACAATGATAAAATTATGCAGAGCTACTTCCCAGATGTCATAAACCAGGGTGGCAGACCTTTTTCTAATTGCTCAATACTGGCCCCATGCCAAGAGAAGATTAAGCTCCTCCTCCTCCATGCAACACTGCATGTTGCTTCAGTTTAGCTTCTCTGGTAAACAGGTTCTTTTGTGAAAACACCTATATATTTAAAGGATTGCTAGCACAGAATATGTAATATGGGCGTCTCACGTAGAGAATAAGCCCTTCTTTTTTTATTAAAAAGGGTCATAATAAATTTATAAATATCTTTGCTTTACATTATAATTTTTTCATTAGACCAAATTATTATTACGTATTCCATGATCAGTATGAAGTTTGTATGAAATTAAGCGGAGATCTAAATCAACCGACGTTGACGAATCAGTGGATGAATTGTGGTTAGGAGTTGAAATGTCACGCGAACTTAAAACTAGCGAGTTCATTCTACTTAAAATGCATTGAGACACAATAGTTGACTGAACATCCAAGGTAAAACATTATTTCGGCGTGAGCTGCAAAATTGATACAAAATCGAGGTAAACTTTGACTACTAAATATGACCTTAAACCAAAGAAGAGTTTAACCCAATACTTTATCTTTTTATCATAGTTGATCATGATTTAAAATATATAGGTATATTAATTCTTTACTAATAATTGAATACTTTTATCTGCTACTTTCGAAATGAAGGATATCAAGCACACGTTCCATTTTAAGAGGCTAAGGCCGTATGCATCCTCTTACCACATCATTTGTATGTGCATTTTTTTAAATACAGTAGAAACTCTTTAAATTAATACTCGTTAAATTAATACTCTCTAAAATAATAAATTTTTCCGGTCCCGACTTGGACCAATGTAAAAAATTGAAAAACTCGATAAAATAATAAGATAATAATTTTTCGTAAGATCCCTTTATAATTTTCGGTCCCAAGAAAATCATAAATAAATAATTCATAGAAACTGAAAATAAATATATTACACTCTATTGAAATATGATTCAATAGTTGTCTGTTTTCTTTTAAAGTTCAAGTCTATTTGGAGTTCATTATTAATTTAACTCATCTCTTGCAACGTAATTCTAAGAGGCATAGACTAATTTACCTTTTTGTTTGGTATGCACAGTATAATTACTTAAAAACTCTTTAAATTAATAATTATTAATTTATCGATAAATTAATAACTCTCTAAATTAATAAATTTCTCCGGTAATGACATTATTAATTTATAGAGTTTTAACTGTAATTTAGGGCTATTAAGAGATAATATTTGTTCATAATCTTTTTTTGTCATTGACAATGCACATATATCATATAAACATATATATTCAAATCTAAAATACATATGAAAAACAACAATCTCTTTAACCACTAAAATCACTTATTGAATTACACGAATCAACTTACTTCAATGATTAAATGAATTGTTGTTGTTCTTAGAGATCATGGATTCGAGCACCAACTGTTGCTACAGGGTGATTGAGCATTAATTGCAAATGATTGAGAATATTTCGAACATATACTAGTTTGTAATCAACTTAGCTTAATAAAAAAATGAATTATTAAATTATATATATTACTAATATATCACTCTTATTTAAATATATTTTAAAAGATATTTTCACGAAGGTAAGTCAAACTATAAATTGATGGGAGGAAATTACACCTTGAATCTCAATCTTCAAAATATTAATAAATAATTCTAACCACTATTCCCTTGTATGATTGGTTTTTAACTTAGGGATTGCTTAATTTCAATAGCATAACCCCAATTCTAATGGCACCCTGCTAGAATTGGATTGAGAGGATTTTTTTCTCAGTGAACTACTCTTTCTAAAGTTCCATTTTTATTTAAAAAAATTGAATTTTTTAAATTAATATGATTTTATTTATTTATTATGTAATTATATAAAATCGTATATCCTTTAAAAGAATATGAAAATTTGAAAACAAACAAAAGGGCAAACCAGTCCCGATTAAAACAATGGGACCTGACCTTTTTAAAGGTCCAATTGCCCAACGAAACTATGACATAATGGTCGTATCCAAACAGAAAACATAATTGGACTCTTAACTTGGAATCCAATTGTATAAAACATAGAACAATGGTCCATTTCAATCCAAATGGGTCTCTTGGGATTTCCGTGTTTGAAAAAAAAAAACTAAAAATAAAAATAAAAGTCCTAAGGTTAAAGGAAACTGAACCGGGCTGACCGGAGAAAAGGAGTCGGTTAGGGCAGTTGGTGTAGCGTAGAGAATATAAATATGCAAGAGACGTCTGAAGAGAGCGGCTTTAGTGCGTAAAAGAAAGAAAAATAAGCCGTAGAAGAGGGCTCTCTCTTGGTGGACCTTGCCCCCGCAATTAATCGTTTACGACTCCATTATCAAACCATTAAAGGTTTGTTTCAGATCTAACCCCACTTTCCTTTTCCTATTCTGTAATTTTTTTTTAAATTTATTTTATTGGCTACATGGAACTTTCGGAATATTGATTTCTTGGCGGAGAAAAGATGGATCGTTACCAGAGAGTGGAGAAGCCGAAGGCAGATACACCTATTGATAAGAACGAGATTCGTATTACCAGTCAAGGAAGGATGCGCAATTATATCACTTATGCCATGACTTTGCTTCAGGTTTTTTTCTTCTCCTTTTTGTTTAATTTCTGCGTTTTTAGATCTTCATATGAGTTGGGTGTTTGCTTTCTTTTTCAGAATATGCACCAGAACTGTTCTTTGTTGAGTGTTCGCAGCTTTCTTCGTTTATCTGATGTTTATATATTTTTTTCTCTTTAAATGTAATGTCTGGTAGGAAAAGGGCTCGAATCAAGTAGTCTTCAAGGCAATGGGAAGAGCCATTAACAAGACTGTGACTATTGCGGAGTTAATTAAGGTAATCCTGTCTATATGAACTTGCCTAGGTGTGTGTGAATTTTATTCTTTGATTCTTGTTTAAGGAAGCTGACGATGTGCTTCATTCTACTTGCTATGCAGAGAAGGATTGTTGGTCTTCATCAGATTACATCAATTGGATCCACGCATATAACAGATATGTGGGAGCCTCTTGAAGAAGGACTACTTCCGTAAGAGCTATATTTAACCCTTATAACAACAAATAGCTATTATTTTTTCTGTCCTTTAATCTGCTTAGTTAGAGGACTCTAGTAAACATTAGTTGAATTGCCACAGATTGGAGACCACCAGGCATGTTTCCATGATCTCTATAACCCTTTCGAAGGTCGAATTGAATACATCGTCTGTCGGGTAAGTTCCTACAATTATTTCCTTTTACTGCATTGCACTTTACTTTTCTTGGTTCTTTCAGTTTTAGTGAATTTTAAAATATTAAACCTCATTTGGGTTCCTTTTTTAGTTAATATGAAACTAGTTGGCTATACCTTCATTACAATATCTTGTTTAATTTCACTTTTATGAATGTCGGGATTAGAAAATTTTAGGGTTTATGGCTTTAGGTTCTTGTGATGGTGGTGGCTTGATAGTTTAAGAGGGTGTTTGGCAAACAATTGATAGCTGGTAGTTGATTCCAGGTTTGACCAACTGATTTGATTAGCTGATTTGAGAAACTGATTTGATTAACTGTTTATATCGAAGTGATTGGTAAAATTTAGTTGATAGTTGATATGTTTAAAATGAAAAAATAAGGGTATGATACATTTAGTTGTTAAGTACATATATGTTTTATAATACTTTAGTTTTTATTGGGGTGAAATTATTTGGATAAAATGCTTTTGACAAGGAATTTAAAATTCCTTAAGAAAATTAGTGAATATATTTTTTTAAATTTAATATTTACAAATATTAACCTTGTGAGATAGATACATACTATTAACTTTCTATAAAATATCAATGCTACATTTTTTTTACTTTCATGTTTCGCTATATTTTCTAAACTCAAATATATTTGAGAATCTACAACTAAAAAATAGAATAATAAAATAAAATTTCAGCTTAAATATATTAGGATGAAGGTTATTTCATTATATTATATTTTATGGTAAGAATGTAATTATAGAAAAAATAAGGTCAAATATGTCATTTAACATCTTATTTTGCAATAAGTTCTTCCAAACCGCTAGATTTTCCAGGGTTTTCATTTTCAGCTTATTTTGCACAATAAGCTCTTTCAAAAAGGTGTTTACCAAACACTAAAAATGGAGGGTTTGACTACTAATCAACTATTTATGTTTTTAAATAAACTAAAAACT